ACGGCGCATGCGCCACAGGTTACATTTGAGGCGAGTGTGTCAAGGCAGCTGTGCCACCCTCAAAAAGGCATCGCCGGCAAATGCGAATTGCAATTTGAACTGCAAGTGCCAGCCGGACTACCGATTCGATCGATACTCAAGCTACTCGGTTTCGATCACACTCCACCTCTACCCAGATCGATCAGATCGCCCGCTGATCGGTCTAACTGCCTTTTAAGGGGATTTTCGCTGTTTGTGGGACTCATATTTAATGGTCGCTAATTTATGGTAGTCACGCCCGATATCAAAGGTATCGGTTTGAGGCGGTTATAACTCACGTGCTTCAGTCGGGACAATCTAGTTATATATTCCTTAGATATCTGTGCTAAAAATGTTTTATTTTTAAGTATACATATGTATACATATATTTATTGTATTTATTATTTCTAGTAAAGTATGTATGTGCATTGATTAGGACTCAAAATCACAATCTACAATCAAAAATTTGGGACGTCATTCCGAATTTCAAAGATTACGTATACGCAATGTATACCTAGAACGTATCTAGTACATTTGCACGTAAACCTATATTTTTACTCATTTAAAAGTCAGAAAACCTACTTTAACTTTTAGATTAGAAATGTACAAAGTTCTAAAAGGAAACTTCAACTGATTTTTGTAGTGCGTATTTTCTCATATCTTTCTTTCAGCCGCATAAAAATTACTCTCTTTTCCTTACGCTCTTGTTCTATTGGCCTTTCGCCCTGTGTCCTAATTCTTGTCCTCCGTCTTTCTGATCTTTCCTTCGATAAAGCTCGCCGAGAAGAGAGCAAATTATTAAAGATAGAGAGATAGGTCGAAAGCCTGCTGCTCTTTATAGGGCCTTCTCTTTCCGGCATTGCCTGCGACGCAAATACCGTTCTTTATTTTTTCCTCCTTTGCGCTTTTCGCATAACTGCTCCGTGCGTGTGTGTGTGTATGTGCGAGTGTTTATTTAATAATTCGCCGCTCTTTTCTTTTCTTCTCTTCTCGATTATGCGAACAGCGCCGTTGGCTTCGCAGCCGCTGTCGCTGCTCTGTCGAAGCTCTGCCGAGGCGCTGCCGGCATCGCTACGTTCAGTTGATTTCTTTTCTAAGCGGCATGCGGTTGTAATTCTTTTCCTAATCACATTGGATTTTTCACACTCAATTGTCGCGGTTATTACGGTAATAATATCGCTCTCCCTGTATCGCCCTATCTCTGTCTCGCGGATCGTGCTAAAAAGTAAAGTTGTCACGATGACACCAAAAGCTGTGACTTGTAATTGAAGTGACTGCGTGACTGCGACTATGATTGTGTGTGTGTGTGTGAGCCCCCCCGATAATAATGCGTATTTATAGCGCCTAATCAAAAGTGATTGATGATTGCCGAGCTTTAGCCCCAGTTACATTAAGCGATCAATCGATCGAGCGATCAGGCAAAGGGTCAACAGAAGAGGAACTGATAAGAGACCACTTCACAAATGATTAAAGTTTTCGCTTTGTTTACAGTTATTAATTGCAAATGAGAGTATTTTAAAGTTCCACATTTGCAATTATAAATTTAACATTAGTAAAACACAGTAGCCCAAGATAATTGTTAAAAAGCCTTGATAAGCAAAAGTCACAAAATAATCGAACTTTACTTACTTTGGACTTTTTGATAACCTTTGTAATTAGAATTGAAATTATTTGTTATTTTTTATTTTAAGAACTATTTACGATAATGTATACGTTAATATTAACATACATAGGAATTTATCTTTAGTTTATAATCAAAATTAAGTATTTTAATAGGGCTTTGAAATAAACAAAGCTCAGATAATGAAAAAAGAATAATAAATTTGAATGACTTGTAAAATGTGGTATCCAAAATATCTGTTAAATTAGGATTGGTTACCGAGTGTTTAAAGGGCTCTCCTTTAAGTCATGGCCTTGGCTAACTTCTTTGACAAAAAAACATCAGCTTTAAATAAAAAGATCCCTATTATTAATTTCAGGTAACAAGAATCTGCCTTATGCCTATACTTGGTAAAAGAACTTCCTCAGTTTGCCTTGGGAGATAGGGCTTCGCTTACAAATTAGTTAGACAAACAAGTAAATTAACAGGAGATTACATAACGAGTGTTTGCATAGAACACGGCCCGTAAAAAAAGGTTCGGTTAGATAAATTCCCGAAATCATGATAAAAATCTACAAAAAATAAAACCAAAATAGGTGGAGGGCCCTTGAGATTACGCTTTCGACCCACGCACGCGGATTATCTTTACCGTTATCACAATAAACACAAGCACGCACACGTACAAAATAATTTGCCAGATTTGCGATTCATTCATAAAGCCCTGCAAATCGTTGATATTATGTACAGAAAGTACAAATGTATCGGAATTGGGAAGATATAGTCATCAAATTAGATCAGGGCAAGTTTTCGCTGTGTATCAAAAATGCAAAAATTCTAAATTTATAAAAAAAGAAGAAAAAAATAGCAGCAGGCAGCAGCAACAATCAAACTCGCACACATGTTTCGCACATGTGTGTATTATGTATTAAATTCACTAACAGCTACAACAAATTGGGCTCGCCAACAAGTGTGTGCTGGTGTGCGTGTGTGTCTGTGTAAGTGGCTGATCAAGGCAGCGCAGTTGACGCAGACGCCGGCCGTTAAAAAATCAGCAAAGTGAGCCCTACACGCGCATGTAAAGTTGCCTCGCACACAAACGCACAGCCAGCTCACGAACACCCGAGTGTGCCAAAAATAAAGTAACAACAACAAAGGCAACACACAAAAGTGGCGTCGACTGCGACGGTGACTGCGACTGCGACGCAACTAACGCCATATAAAACAGGCGGCAGCAACAAAAACCATGGCAAAAAAAATAAAGAGGATGAGGGCCAAGCGAAGATTTGAATACCCTCGCAGATGCATTTCAATTAAAAAAGAAACTGTCCATAAATAATAGAAAAATTAACGCTTCCTACATTTGTATGTCCATTTATTATGTAGGGATTATACCATTGAACCTTTTTTTTTAATTTACTTCCAAGTCTAATCTTCTTCCTCTTTCGTCTTGAAAGTAAAGAAACCTCAATAAAAAACTTTACTAATACTTATAAATACTTATGTTGTAAATACAATATTTGGCATAAACTTTTAGTTTCTGATTCCATATTAATAATTGGTGTTAAATAGTTTTTAATTGCAAAATCAATTATTTAATTATATGGGCAATTTGAAAGATTAATTATGAAGACAACAGATTCCTATATTTATAGCTTCTTAGGTCAAAAGATTACAAAAACGTCAAGACTTTGCCGTAAATATTGATTATACGAGCCTTAAGTTTTCCAAACTTGCGATCGAAATTGAAATGCCCTCGTCAAGGGTATCAGAAACACACATTTTTTGTGCTTATGGGTCGTAAAGTTGACCTTCAAACAGCAACATTTGCCGAAAAAATACGAGCAACCAAAAAACACACACATACACACCCATGCAAACATGCGAAAAAACACGACGAACGACAATTCGACGCACACACACACACGTGAGCGCGCCACACCAGCCAAAAATTGGCCAAAAAATTGCAAGCTTTTTTATTGTTGTTTTGTTTTTGGGCTGCGCCCCTACAAGCACACACTTACACTCACTTACACACACACAGGAGCCTAAGGTCTTGGGGGGAGGCGCGGTGTTGTAGCAGTAACGATGATGACGCTATGTGCATACCATGATACCGCTTTGTTGCTGTTTTTGTTGTCTCATAAAATCTAATTTGGCGAGCGCATTTTTACAGAGCAACAGGCAGAGAAAGAGAGAGAGCAGCAGAGCGAGAGAGATAGAAATAGATAGACAGTGAGCGATCGCTGCCAGCGTCGCTGTTGCAGCGCTGTCGCCAGTGTCTTAAAGTCTTTCGATGCTGATTTACATTTTTTTCTGTATTTTTTTGCAATATTTGTAGTCTTCCTTAATTATTTCCTATTTACTAAATTTTTATGAAAAAATGTAATTAACTTTAAGTTTTATTTTGATCTTGTTTAGCCAGGATTTCAATTCCACATAAAACTAAATTCAAATAATGTCTTGTCTTTTGATGATCTAATATTGGATTTTAGGGGTCTCTTTTTTATTTTAGTAATTTTTTATGTTTTGGTGCCTATAAAGTTTATGTACACAATGTATTATCAAAGAGATCTATTTTTGATTAATTCAGAATTTAAAAATTATCTTGTACATGATACAAAACTCTTTGGCCCTATGATCTTGCCATAATAAACATTTTGTTAATTAATTTTATTCATTCTAATATTAATGATTTCAAAACATTTTTAGTTTAAATTTTCATATGTAATGTACACATATTGTATTGAAATTCTTTCTAATATAGTGTAATATAATTTATATAATATAATTCCAAATTTGCAAGATTTTGAATTAGAATATTTTTTTAATCAGTTATTTATTAAATATTTCACTATTTGAGTGTTTCCCATTTGGTTACAAATTTCCTCGTTAATTGTTATTAATTTGTCTGATACATCTTTTTTTTTTTGCAAACATTTTTTTTGAACTGGCAAACATTTAGCGCTTTTATGCTTTTTACGCTCTCTCTTTCTCTTTCTGCTCATGCTGTGCGAATTGCGAGAGAGAGCATGCTTTTTGAGTGAGAGAAATGGCGCTCTTTTGTGCAAAAGTTTGCCCGTGTGTGCCAGTATATGTGTGTGTGTTTGCGAGCGGCGATCGGTATCAAGGTTTTTGGCAATTTGGTTCGCGTCCGCCGCTTCAGTCGGTTGGTAGGTCGCGTCGTCGTCGCTTCTCTGCCGCTGCCTCGGTCTCTGCTTCTGCTGCCGTCGCTGCCTCAGTTGGCTGCGCCTTTTTCTAGTTGCGTTGCTTTTTCTGCCTTTTTTTCCTTCTTTTTCGTATATTCGCTGGTCTTCTGTTTTTGCGAATTGCCGTGCGGAGATCAGCGGCTCGCGTGCGCTCGAAATACAAAAAAAAAAATTCACAAATCGCTCTGCTGCTCTGCTGCCTGCGCCCACAGCGCTGCCAAAGCCAGCGGCGACGCACGTTTCGCGCGGCACTCTTAACCTATTTTCTCGGCAAGCGAACATTAGTTACAATTTTGTTGTGATGTTGCGCGGCAGATACGCGGCGGATTCGGACGGGTTGCGTTTGCGCGGATTCTAAACTCACACATACTCTGACACACACTCACGCACACCCACGCCCACACACGCACACACCCTTGGATCGGGCCAGTAAATAATTGCAACAAAAGTGCGGCGAAATTGCAGTCGGAAAAATCTGCAAGAAAAATCAAAAAATTGAAACAACAAAATTTTTCAACTAAAAAGTCTAGTTTGGCAAAATTACAGAAATTTTGAAATACAAATTTTGCCAAATAGGAATCATGAAATAAATAATAATTAATCATAAAAAATTTTTATTACAAAAATAGTGCTGAAATCAGTGCCTTAAAAAAGCCATTAAATAAATACATAATATTTTAACGCAGCAGATCACCAATGATCAGTGCTGAGAAAAATGTGGTGCCTTGATAGGATTTTAAAGTTTTATGTTTAAAACTGCTGGGCAGCGAGAAATCCAAAATTTTATACAAATATATTTTCAAAACTGAACCCAACTGTACTTCTCGCCACCAAAGCGATCGCCGCGAATAAAAACAAAAACAACAACAAAAGAAGAAGAAAAACAACGCATCAAATTGGATTACACAAACTTTTGGCTGCTGCAATCACTCTGGGAAAGGTTAGTACTAACATCCAATCGCATCGCATATCACGTATACGACCTGTCTCAACGCCACGAAAGTGAAAGGGTGTAGAAATTGTGTGTGGAGAACCTAGAAAGTGTACCGAAACGAACCGAGAGCCAAGAACGGAAAGCGAAAGTGCCCAAGTGTTGCGCATTAAGTAATACAAATACCCATACAAAGAGTGCCATAATCGCATACTGCACATACTATATAGTGCGGACAAGTGTACAAGATAAGGTTTATTTTTCCTGCGAATTTCCAGCCAGGCATTCCTTAGCCCAGTTACTACACACTTTATATAGGGGGGAATGTGACATGGAAAGGGGGTATCTAGAATCTCAGATAAACGTTCTGTTTGCGCTCTTTGAAAGTGAAAATCCGATTAGCTAAGCATCAACACTCTGCTCATCCATCCGGCGAGTGTGTTATATAATCCCAAGAAATGTGTCGAATGTCAGGGTAAATCGCAGAAAGGTTCTATCTTTTATCGTGGCCGGAAGACAAGTGATATCTTTTTGGCTTACCTGATATTCAGAGTAAGTTCTGTAATGTTTTTTACGATTTCTTTAAAAAGAATGCTAAACAAAGATAACTGAACTGCTTCTTCAGCGACTGATGTCACTTGAAATACTCTTTAAGATATGTCATAGCGCTATATATAAAGGGGTATTGAAAGCGAATTCTAGTAATTCAAACAATTTTAACGATTTTTTCCAACTTTCTATAGACCTTACATAGACATAAATACCTATTAAAAATTCTTTCCAAAAATTGACTTTGGTAATTAAATTTTTTAAATATTTAAAATCTGTTATTTAAGCTCTCTTCTGCCAACTTTCCCTATATAAAAAAAACCCCCCATTTCATGAAATGTATATGTGTATTTACTAGGGACCTTCAACTGTCCTACACCGTCCGAAATGGGAATTTTGCTGATTTTTGACATTTCTTATCTGTAAAAAAGCACACGGGACATGACAAATACAACCAAAAAAATAAAACCTCGGATCACTTACATCACAGTTTGATATGGCGATTGAGTGAAATCCATTATGTATGCGAAAAACCCTACGGTACAATGGCAATCCGAGCGACTATCTATTATCTCTCTCGGTACGTGAGTGTGGGTATGCCTGTGTCTGGGGTGTAAACCGAAGGTATTCGCCGCCAACCCAACCCCCCTTGTACCCTTTCGAATTTAGCATATCAAGTCATGCGTAAAAGTTATCTCTAAAAATATACACGAAAAGTTCTCGCATACAACGACCACTCACGCGGACCAGTACGAAAAAAACCTAAAACATGCGAAAATTATCTATAAATTTAAATTTTTACAATCTGTGCGCGATTATAGGAACAACAACAAAAAGTGCTACCAAAAAAAAAAAAGAGCAACAAAAAGGAAAAAAAAAAGAATAATAAAGAAAAAGCTTTGAGCTGACGTCAAACGCGCAGCGACAGCTCCGCTGGCAGCGCCAATTTATTTTACACAATTAAGGGTGTGCACGAAAAGCAGGCAGAGAGATCGAGAGAGATATGTATGTGCACATATATATACATACTATATATTGTATATTCTATATTCTATATGGAAGACATGGGCGATCGCTCATGCCCGCAACTCACACAGCACGCACGGACACACACACTCATTACTATGTGCCAATTTAGATTAAAGGCAAACGAGCGGAACCACGCCCCTTTCACAGCCCACCCAGTTTGCGAATAATACATAAATAAAAAAAGAAAGTAAAAAAAACCCACAGGGAAAGGTTATCTAGGGGGTGGCGGTTTTGGATTACAGACCCTAGTCCCGAATTTGAATTTCTTGGAAAACCCATCATACATTTGGGGTTCAAATACAGGTTATTCGTGGAAAGTAGTATTTCTTTGAAATTTTTAATGATTAAAATTATAAAATTTCACCTAAGGGATCATAAAAATGTTGAAACCAATAAAAAAGGAGATTATTAAAGTAATTCTTTGAATTTATTTGACAAATATTAACTTGTTTTTTTTAAATAAATATAATATTTTAGTATTTCTTTGATTTGATAACAAAGTTAACACATCTAAAAACAATGTTGAGACATTGAATAGAAAAATAATTCAAAAAGGATTCAGATATTATTTACTTGGGAGTTTCGAAGTTTACCAGTTTTAACTCTTTAAAGTTAATTTGTAATCTTTAATAAATTAAAAAACAATTTGTTTTATTTTTTTACAAATTTTAAACTTTTTTTAAAGTTACTAATTATAAAATATTAAATATTATTATTTTGTAAAAGTTCTTAAAAGCTTACAATTCAAAATGTACAAAACCCAAAAAATATATTTATATAAGACTTAAAGAACCTTTAAAAAACTATATGTTTCAATGATTAAGTTGACAATAGAAGTAGAAAACTAAATAATAAAAAAACAAAATTAACAAAAATGAAAAACAACAGATTGGCTGGTTTTAAAACAATAAAAGACGAGTTGCAAGCAGAAACGCTCAAAAGCACAAAGCCGCTGCATTGTTACCCTTTTGCGTTGTGTTATTTATTTATTTATGTATTTATGCAATATATTTATTAAATTGTTTTTTTATTGTGATTTTTATTTATATGAGCCGTGAGTTCGTTTGTATGTGTGTGTGTGGCAGGCGAAACACTCTCTTTGTGCGAGCTGTGTTCGCACCAACTGTGTAAATATGGTGCGCAAACGGTGCTGTTATTGTATAAGACGGTATAAGAGTCCCGGTGGGGTGATGAGGGATCTACCACCCTATTAGTTGGTTGTTATATCATTGTGTGCGGCACACATATCGGCTAAAACCCAGGGCCAATCTAGCCCCTCAGTTCCTCAATTTTTGACGCAGAAGATCTCTCGATCCCTCAGAATATCTTCTCCTTTTTTATTTTTTGCTCCCTTGGTTTATTTTCGTGTATTTCGCGCCAACTTATAAATACTTTGAAGAGAGACACAGAGGGGTGGCGGAGGATAAAAGCTTTATAGTATCTATATATGTGTGTATGTATGTATTGGCCCACCTCAGGAATCGGAAGACATGCCAAATGCGAATACCTCCCAAGTATTTGCAAACAAAAACATAAATTATTTTGTTTGCCTGAATGGTTGCATATTTATAATTTGCGTTGCGAGATCTCTTTTGCCTATTTATAACCCTCAGTTAAGGGGTGTGTTTTGTTGGTCAAGTTTAATATTAGATCTCTCAAAAAAGAGATTTGCCTTTTGGGCATTTGTTTAATTAAATTATTTATAATTTAAACATTTACTTTTATGATAAATGGAATTTTGCATAATAACAAATTATATTTGCTTTGGGCTTAATTAAATCATTTATTTTAATAACATTTTTACAGTTTAATCTTATTTCTAAGGAGGAGAAGAGGAGAATTTTTGAACTTAACTTTCAAGACATAACATGAGGACATCTGAATATTACGAATTTCTCCAGGCAAATTAAGGCTTCCTTTACTTTTACTAAGAAATTAAGTCCTTTAGGTTAAGCATTTCTTAAAGAACTTATAGATATATTAATATTGCAAATTTTCTTTAGGGTTTTTTTTAATCCCATCAAGGACCAAACTAAATTTAACAATCTAATAGCTGGGAAACTACAATCATTTTTAATTTTTAAATATTTAAACTCTATTTAATACATTTAAGAGATAATTCGTAATATATTTCCTATAAATCCTAATGCCAAAATTCCCTTTTTTCACCTGGGAATTTTGCAGTCTCAAGGCAGTGGCACATGTTTCTCAATTTGTTTTTGTTTTTGTGCTGTTCAGTATGTATATAAGTATATATTTTTTGCATGAATTAGGGCCACATGTCGGCGATCGACGTTACCAGAGGATTGAGGACTGAGGATCGAGGGAGGCTGTGGCTGCCCACGCAGAAGCGCGCGCGATTTGTCAGCCGGCAAGAGTTTTCGTTTATTTTGCCGCCGCCGCGCGCTCTGCCATAGTGTTTATTGTCGGTTCTTGCTCATGTGCCGCTGTGCCTGAGGTTGCTTTTGGCAGGGTTTAAGTGGGCCCACATATACGACGACGCGTATATGTATCTCTATATAGAGGTATAGGTACGGCGATATATACGCCTTCGCGCGTCTGTTTGTTTTGTCATGTTGTTTGCGTGTACTTAGTGCTATCCAAGTTGTTGTCGCTGCTCTCTCGTAGACAATTTCTAAGTGTGTTCCGTTGAATTTGGGTCAGTCAGCGAAAAGTTGCCCCTCGGGCCTGCCTGCCTGCTGCTGCTGCTGCTGCTGGTGGTGCCCCTCTTTTACGCCACCACCATCTCAGACACCAGAGTGTCATTGTAATTGCAAATATCCGAGGCAGGGACAAAAAGATACAGATACAGAATCTGGCGAGCATTTTGCCGGGCATTTTGGCTGCCCACGCCGCTGGCTGAAAACTGTCAGAATTTGTGCATCATCCTTACTTTTCCTTCTTTTTTTTTGCATAAATATATATACGTGCATAGTATCAAGGGGAAATTAGCGCATTTAATTGCCCAGAGAGTGTCTGACCACAGACACTTGACGTAATTGGTCGGCCAAGTCGTATTTGTTTAGTTCCTTTGGGTTTTTGTTTTTTCACCACTTATGCTGTTGCCAAATGTTTTTATATTTTGCTGGCTAAAATTGAAATGAAATTGATTATTTCGATAAATGCAATTTGCATGCATTCTGTACGTTTGGTAACTTGTGCTAATTGAGTTGCGTTTGTGCGCCACGTGACGTATGCGCAAAATATTAAGTATACGCCCCGTTTAATTCAGGCAGCACGATCGGCGAAAGCTCTCCACTTAGCAGCCAATAAAACGATGGAGAGTTTTATTATTATTATTTTTATGACCTTAAGGAATGCCCTTTTATTTCTGGAAATTGGCTAAATTCAAATTACATAAATACGGGCGAAACCAAGACAGAGATCTTATAGCTTAGATATCCGATTTTGAATTTTTTTTGAGGGCTTAA